TGACGAGCGAGGGCAGCGACGGCTTCGTGATGCTCACGGACTCGGGTAACCAGCGCTCGGGGCTACCAGGGCTACCATCTCATGTCGTTTTCACATCCCCGTCGCGCCGTGCTCACCTGGAAGTCGCCTGCACTGCTCCTTTTCGGATGTGGTGTCACTCCCGGGGTGCTCTCTGACTCTTGAGATGCCTTTTTTGACGTGGGGGAGTGGGGTCGCCCTGTTCTTGACGGCGTTCTCGAGCGAGGGCTGCAGACATGTGCAGGTAGGTGGATGGTCCAAAGCATTTGAGAAAGATGCAGTAAAAGGTGGGTTGAGGTGAGGTACATTGAGCACTGCAGGCACCATCATTCGCTTCAGGTCTGTGCGACTTAAATTCATCTGAGGAGCTGGAGGGAGTTTCCAGGAGGTTGGTATAGGGTGATTAGGCCATGAGATTCAGGCAAATATCGGGACTTCTTAAAACAAGAAAAAGAAACATAACGGAGGATTCTTTTTTAATTTAATTTTTCACTGTCACTTCAGAACCCAGCCTGGATCCTCTTTCCTCAGTACATCTCCCTCAGGTGCACAATGACACGGGCAGCAGAGGAAGCCCGATGGCAGCAGATGACAGCAGAGCATCTCCTGAAATAAATAGCTCCACTTCACAGAGCGTAGAAGACCCCAGCCTTCAACTGGTCAGTTTTGTTCCTTTTCCCTGTAATTTTGTCTCCGAGTGGATCTTGAAGCACATCTTGTGGTGCTGTTTTGTCACTGGCTGTTTCAGGTGTCCGTCCTTGTGCTGAAGATGAATGAGGTGAACTGTGGGATAGAGGCAAGAGCGGATGATTTGTCTGTGGCTTTACAAGTCATGGAGGTGGTTCCAGAGCAGCTCAGCAATGTTGGGATGTGGCAGTATCTGTGTGGCTATCTGGGTAAGACGTTCGCTCCGGGAGCCTGCTGGCACTTACAACTGCTCTTGGTCCTGGCCCTCTTTAGGGAATCTTTCATTTTAACTGGTATTTTGGTGTTCACATCTAGTGCAAATATTTAGAATTTAATTGGGATTAAATAGATGCCAAAAGCAACTACAATCCAAAACTTCATGTGGAAGCATGAGCAGGATCCTGAACTGTTGGTACTTGTCTTTAACAATGCTCCCTGCAGCCACGAGGGGGCAAAGTCAAATTACAAAATTAGATAGGGTTGAGGTGGCAGCAGAAAGACCTGTGGGATCTTTGGAGACCAGAGTGGTGTATTTCTGATCAACTCGTGTAAATGCAGAATTAGGGTAAGTTTTGAGATGTGCTGAGATGGTAAGAGAGAAGGGGATAGATCTGGGGACCTAAACCGTTTATTTCTAGTTCCTGGGATGTGGACTCGGTCTTCTGAATCCTGGGCTCGTTCCATGTGAAGAGCAGCCTCAGGCTGCTGCAGGGTCAACCTGGCTCCATTGTGCAGCTGGACAGTAAAGGGCTTTACAACACACAGATCTCGTTGATGTCTTCAGTCCTGATGCCAGCAGATCTCTCTGCTCTGACCGTAGGGGCTGCAGGTGCAGAGGAGCCGTCGGTGCCCACGGCTGGCAAGACCCAGGCCGAGGTGTGCGTGCGCCTCGAGGTGGGGCCCGGCGCCGCGTGGCGCTCGCCGCTCGCCGTCCAGAACGGCTTCCTCCACATGCTGGTCCACAGCTACACAGCAGAGCTCTTCATGTCCTTCCTTACTAACCTCGGGCCCTTCCTGGAGGATGAAATCATCCCAGAGGTGATGCCCATGGAGATAGAAATTGTGAACACCAAAATCACGTTGAAGGTGAGTGTTTGGGGAACCCCAGGCAGAGCTCCCAGGCAGGATCTTATTTGGGGAACCGAGGTGATAGAACCCAGGCAGAGCTCCCAGGCAGGATCTTCCTTGGGAAAGGATACAGTTGGGTTGCTCAGGGTCTTTGCAGGTAACCTGTTTTCCTGATTGCATTTTATTTTGTTTTTAAAAAGTACCTTATGGGTGAAAAAGCAGCACAGGAGAATTGTTGAGTGCTGATATTGTTGGGTCTGAGTTTGCCTAGTTTTGTGGATGGCCCACTTAGCAGACTTGAGGAGAAAAGAATTAAATATGTTTTGCCCTATATGTTTGTGTGAAATGGGAAGTACTTGACCCTCTCTATAAGTGTTTTAAGCACTACAAATGAAAAGTGTGTGAGAGTTGGTTGGTATTTAGGAGAGGGTCACTGGCAATCCTTGACAAACCGTTTTGAAAGCAACGTGTTGTCTCTCCTGACAAACAGAAGCCAGTGTTGCTGCAGAGCAGCATGAAAATCTTCAAGCTAGGGGGTAGTGGATTTATTTTGTTGGGAATTTGAACCAGGAAATTTGCAGGAGGGTAACTGTGAGAGGCTGTCTTCAGGGAGATGGTAGGAACCTGCCCAGCCTTTTTTAGGAATGCCCCAGAACTCTGTTGTGATCAGGGAGAGGACTTTGTGCAGGAATGAAGACCCCCGTGGAGCCCGGTGAAGCCAGGTTTACCACGTGCTGGGTGACTTTGGCAGTGCTGGCCATGGTAACGTTGCTCCTGCGACGGCCAAGGGCAAGGGGAATCTTTTGCAGAATCGCCAGGGCTGTCACAATGGTTCATCTGTTTTTCTGCTTTATCTTTTCGCAGGATGACAGCCCGCAGGTGTACCCCACCTCGCCTGGCCCCGTGCCCATCACCCTGGCAGTCGGTCACGTCACTGTGAAGCGCAGAGACGATGGCGTTTTCTGTCTAACAGGTCAGCAGCGCCAGGACCTTGTGAGATGTGATGGGCGCCACTGGCAAGGACAGGCTCCCTGCCTCCTTCCTTGCCTTTTCCTTGCTTCTCATCCCTTTAAAATGGAGTATAGATTTTTTCCTGTTAAAGAAAAAAAAAAAGTGGGGGGGCAAAAATAGAGATAATTGTTTACTATTTTTTTGTCCTAAGCTCCCTGGTGTTTAAATATCCACAGCTGAATATTTTCTATGCTTTTTTTCAAGCACCACAAGGGGAAGGCTCACCGAAACAGGAAAAACCTGTGTCAGCTTTTAAGGAACAGACAGTCCCAGCAGAGTGTGTCCCAGCAGGAGGGATCTGTGGATTGCAGGTGAGTCACAGCTGCCTGTTGCTGTCTAGACACCTAGGGAGCTGGCAGGAGCCTGGAAAATTGTCTCTTGTCTCCGTGTGTTTGTGGTTATGGATAGGTGTGGTGGGCCGTGGATAGGGAGCAGCCACGGAAGCAGCCTGTACCTCCTTTTCCAGGGATTCCACAAAGTAAGGCCAACTCATGCCTTGCCCAGCACAGTCTCTTGTTCCCTTTCAGAAATATGTTGTTTTTCTGACAGGCTCCCTTTTCCCCACTCTGTCCAATTCCTTTTTAGAAAAACAGGAGTGAGACGATTCCCACAAAAAGAGGGCACTTTAGGCAGAGCAAAGGGAGTCTGACAGCCAGGAAGAGTTCCAGGTCACACACAGCTCCTGCTGTTCACTGTGAACTTTCTTTTCATTTTGATCGCTCTACCTGGAACTCTGATCCCTTGCTATGGAAAATTACAGATTAGGGAAGCAATGGGACAGACCAGAGAAACTGAACTGGGACTTGGATTCTATTCATGAGTTGGTGACCTTGGACTCATGGCATTTTCTCTCTCTTTTCCACTTAGACTGAAGACAAAGTCTTTGCAGTATTTTTAGCATCTCATGTACCAAGGCCTTAATTAGAACAGGAACACACAAATATTACAGTGTCTTGGCATCAGTTTAATTTCTGCTGGAAATTTTGTAGGAACATGTGAAAAGGCTAAATTATTGAGTGAAAAGATTCCAGAGAGCCCAAGGAAAATGCCCTCCTGTGCTGTGAAGCCACAGTGCAATCCTATTGACAGTGTTTGAGAACAAAATTAACTTTGATCATGGAGAAGAGAAATAAGAGTGCCAAGTACCTGCTTGCTCCAGCAATCAGGTTAATTTTAAATCTGAACAGGTGTATCTCGACCCTATAAATAAGAAGGAATGCAGAGCAGAGCCAGTTTTTATCCTGCTCTCAGTGTGTGGGTATATTTACCTTCCCTCAAATCAAATTGGGTCATCTTGGCAGTGAGTTTTGTGTGGTCATGGCACATGGTGTAATTCATTTCAAAAGCTCCTCCTCTGGTTTTCTTGGAGCAGATCAGTGCAGTCAGATCTGCTTTGCAAGAACCTTTGGGGACTCATGGTTTGTTTTTCCCTGTTTGGTCTCTTGTAGCTAAAGGAAGTGCCAGAGCTGCAAAGGGAGCTGCAGACCGTGAAAACAGCCCTTGCAGAAGCCAACAGGGACAGGGCCCGGCTGCTGCAGGAAATTAGGAAATACAATCCCCTCTTCCAGCTCTGACAGTGGAGGCCCAGGCCGCAGCAGCTCAGGAGGAGTGGAGACCACCAGCAGCACCAAGGCGGCTCGTTTGACTACACTGCTGCTAAATGGGGCAACCCACTGGGGTCCGATCACCTGAAAGGATGGAAAGCAACTGCCTTGGTAAAATAAACTCCGGAGAGGGAGCAGGAGGGAAGGCCTGGCTGGACAGGGCCACAGGGGAAAGGAGTGAGAAGGAGCTACCAACTTGCAGCCGCTTTACTCTGTCCTGGCAATATGGTGCTACCGGCTGCCGCGGAAGCAGCGCTCAGTCTTCAACGAGAAGGTCAGGAGCTGCGGGGGGACCAGTGTTTCTTCATCTGCAGAGTCACGTTGCCAGCCTGCAGCACCTCTGCTTCGCTTTTGCCTAGAGGTGCTTCATGGGGGGCAGTTCTGCTTCTTTTATCCTTCCTTTTGGTGTTCTTGCCCATCACACATGCCAAAGAACATGGCAAAAGGAATGTGGCTAGCTTACCACATGGAGGAGTGATAGATATGGCAGAAATTGTTGCTCAGAACTCTGCTGTGAAAATGTGTGTGTTGCTGCACGAAATGGAAACTTGGGGGGTCAGCGAGTGTGGGAGACGAGGAAGGGATTTCTGCCTTGTGGAAGGGGCTAGGACTGATTACTTCCTCCTTAGTAGGGCCAGGATA